GCAACAGCTTATCTTCATTCTTCTACCAATTCAATTACTAACATTTTTGAACCTTAAAAAGCATCTCAATATTTTAGCAATTTAACCCCATAACATTCAATTCATCACAGCTCTCCCCACAAAATCTTCTAAATTTAAATGCATCTCAAATTGTCACTACTTTTTCTCTCTCTCAAACAGTTTCAAAACTAATATCAATTTTTTTTTCCAAAAAAGTTTTTCCAATTTTTCTTTCCCCGTGAGGGCATTCAAGTGGCCATTCTTGAATACTCTCAGCACATAATTTCCCTTTTTAACCCCACCAGGCATTTGCAAACAATCAACCTCACACAACCTCACACAACCTCAACACAACCATCTTATTCATCCCAAAACTGATTTCATACATACACTCATTTATTCTTTACTGCAATTCTCTTCTCAAAAAGGAATCTAATCATTCAGTTCTCACACTTCTTAATCTCACACATCTCAACAGTTTTTCTTTCATTATCTTTAATCCCTCTTTACTTCTGTACTAACATTTCATCACTACTGTATGACTTTCTTTTACATTCCCATTCTCCCTCTTTTCACTTCTTTTCCCACATGGTAATCACACACTCTGGTTTTTCTCCTGTGATTAACCAAATTCTCTCTCTTCTGACTTACTTTTCCCCTTGCTTTCTCAACATATTCTCAACATACCTTAACTTTCTTCTTGGGTGACTTTTCTCTTACCCACATACTTGGTCTTTCCCCATCATATGTATGGTTCCAGGTTTTTCCTGAATTATCCTCTTTTTCCTTTTATTTGAAACCTGTAAAGATTATTTCTCTCAACACTAACAGCTACACACATTCTTTTGGCTAGCCATACACACATTCAAGTTTTCAGGAAATGCAAACAAACATTTTCCCTTTTTCCCAAAAGACAGACACATATTTCACATATATTTTTCTTTTCTCTTTTCCTTTTTTTTTCTCATTTCATCATCATTTCTTTTTTTCTTTTGGCTTTTTCTCGGAAGCCTATAACCATTAGTCTCTTTTCATTTTGAACATACTGACATTTAACAAAGAAACAAAGCAAAAACAGAAACAAACATACGGTTGCAAAGCAGCTAGAAGGGACAATGCATATAGACACATCCAGATTCCACAATACACAACACATAGGATCAACATAACAATGTTTCCAACCTGAACACTTTTTCCCTTTTTTAAAAAGTGCACTTTTCCCAACCTAGGAGTGAGCCTTCTGTGGTGAAAGCGACACTCAGGGGTTTTTTTTTTTTCTTGAGGTCTGCAGTACCTCTTTTGAAAAAAACTGTTCCCCCAAAAATGTTTCCCCAGGCATTTCCACAAATGCCTATACCTTAAAAAGCTAGCTTCTCCCTTTTTCTGGAACTGCAGCTGTTACTTCTCAATGCACTTCAGTCAAGGGGCCGAGGAAGGAACAGGCCAGTGGAGGCGATTTTTTTCTTGTGGGTACCCTTTTTCGTCTCCCCTGATCCATGCCTTGTCCGGCCCACCGAGTGAGAGGCATCAGCCCCCAAAAGCTTACCTTTCCTTCTTCCTGTTCTCCAGCCCCACGTTGGGCGCCATTTTGTAGCGGGGAGGGTCCCCAATTTCCAATAATCCAGGAGATCGAAGAAGAAGGAAGAGACAGAGACAGCTTT